CTGAATTATTCACAGACAGTGTCACCAGCAAAGCCCCCCCACACCATCTCACTTCCTCCTCCATACTTCACGGTGGGAACCACACATGCAGAAACCATCTTCCACCTTCTCTTCTCTGCGTCTCACAAAGTCACGGAGGTTGGAACCAACAATCTCAGATGTTGACTCATCAGACCAAAGTACAGATTTCCACTGTCTAATGTCCATTCCTTGTGTTTCTTGGCCCAAACAATTATCTTCTTCGTGTTGTTCATCCTCAGTAGTGGATATTTGCAGCAATTGGACCATGAAGGCCTGATTCACGCACACTCCTCTGAACAGTGGATGCTGAGGATGTCTGCTACTTGAGCTCTGTGATGATTTATGTTGGCTCTAATCTGAGGTACTTTAATTTGCGGTTTCTGAGGCTAGTAACTCTGATGTATTTATCCTCTGCAGCAGAGGTAACTCTTGCTCTTCCTTTCCTCATGAGAGCCAGTTTCATCATAGCGTTCGATGGTTTTTGCGACTGCACTTGAGGATACATTCAAAGTTCTTGACATTTTCCGCATCGACTGCCCTTCATTTCTTAAAGTGATGATGGACGGTCGTTTCTCTTCTCTGAGTTGAGTAGTTCTTGCCATAATATGGATTACAACAGTAGTCAAATAGGGCTTTGCGCTGTGCACTAACCCTACCTCTGCACAACACAACTGATGGTCTCAAACACATTAAGAACTCAAGAAGGCAAGTCATTCCACAAATGGACTCTTGACAAGGCACACGTGTTAATAGAAAACCATTCCAGGTGACGACCTCATGAAGCTGACTGAGAGAAGCCAAGAGTGTGCAAAGCTGCATCAAGGCAAAAGGGAGCCACTTTGAAGAATCTAAAATAAAAATCATATTCAGGATTTTTTAACACTTTTTTGTTAACTAATTCCAAATGTGTTCTTTCATAGTTTTGATTTCTTCAGTATTAATCTGAAAAGTAGTCAAACATTTAAATAAACAAAAAACACGAATGAGAAGGTGTGTCTAAACTTTTGACTGGTACTGTATACCATTTTAAGTAGTGTTATTGGTTGATTGGAATGAGGACAGAGTAAATAATTACACGATCAGGAAAAAACAAGAAACTATCAAAAAGTGTCCCAAAGAAGTTAATGATCAGCGCATGCATCATTTTTGGTGGAGGATTCTTTATGACGATACATATTCATTAAGTCAATATTAACATTGCATTTTATGTTTCCTTACTGTGCAAATAAACCTTTATGAAAGTGTTTTGATTTTTTTACAAAATTATACTTTGAAAAAGTAAGTCAGCCATATTAAAAGTGGTGGGGCCCCAGCTTAAATTACACTTAACGGATAAACAAGGTTACACGATCATTTGTGAGAACAAAAGCATGGAGAAGAGGACAGGCTAGTGGAGGAATGCAAAGACAGACATTCTAACTAACCAAAGTCAGCAGGGTAAGGGTTGTTTGTTAATAGGTGGGGATTACAATTTTAGGAAAGATTTAGTTTGTTTTGTTTAGTGTATCCTAGTTGCCTTTGATAATAACCAGGCGCATGAAGAGCAGGCCTCCATTAGCTGCAGAAGTCCCAACACGTAGTTGAAATGCTTTACTTTATTGAAATTGATTTACTCACTTTGAGGACGCACACACAACTTGTCTGCCAGGTTCAACGCGGCGGCTCTTTCTTTAATTGAAGACATGTCTGCCAGACGATGGAACAGCAGTGGGAAACGCACTTCCTACTTTGATAACAGGTGTGTAGACCACCAGGTGAAACAGAGCACGTCCATCGCAGAGGCCACTTCAGTAACGGTGCAATTATAATACATATCGCTAGATGGCGCCAATGGCTAAATCACAGTGGTCTCTCTCACACAGGACTTGCTGGCTGATAGTTTTATTCCAGGTTTGTTTTATAGCCTATACGGTCTGTTTATACATATTTCTATGTCCACTGTGTTGACTTGTCTTCAAATACATGTTTTAAAAAAGTCTCAAATAACGATTGAATGGAAAATGGGAATAGGAAGTCAAAACAGTTCTGACTCAGTCAGTAGCCTAATGCCGATGCTGCCTCAATTGATTGAGTATGTAGGCCTATAGGTTTTTATTGTACCTTGAATGATTAAATCCAACAAATAGCCTACGTATATTTTGATAAGTAAATTAGCAATGCAAATAAATAGGCAATATGTGACCTTCTCGAGGAGTGCATACGAGTGATAGCATTATCATCTGTGTTTTTAGGCAGGTATTGTAAATAAAGTTGTTCACACATTTTTTTGCCTCGAGGCTGCTGGTGTCACTTCAGGCCTGTGAGCCGGTGTGCGAACATGGTAAAATAAATCATTTAAATGACCAACAGCGAAAAGAAACTTGGCAAATAAAACACTTAGTAACCTGACAACAATGATCGTTACCGTACATTTGAAGAGCACTGCATTCATGAAAACTGCCTTTTTCCCACTTTTTTTAATTTTTATAAACAATTTTAAATCAGTTAAAACATATGTTTTTAAAGATGAAGATATTCGAATTTTTCCTAACATGTTTGTCAATTTTTTGAACAACACTTCTGCTAAAGCTGTGCCTCAAAGGCAGTTTACTCTTGGCTTCTCCTGATGATAAGGCCCGATGGCGCTCTTTGAAAAAAAACTCGTCTGGCCTTCCCCTTGTTTGCTAGTTTGGCTAACTATTAAAGGTAATGTAGCAACATTAACAATTCAACATTTACCAGAATATTCCGTTAAAACCATTACACATTATAAACCCCTAGAGACATGAAGATATTTTTTATCAAAGATATCCTAAAATGAATTTACTTATCGTTTGGTTTATGTTAGCAACTTGCAGGCTAAGGATAGCTAATATGTTGTTGTATTTAGCTAGCACTGAGTTAGCTTTTGGTTTGGTCTAATGTTTAAGTCTGGTGGTAATTACAATAGAAAACAGCAATGTTATTTATTTTACTTAAATGTCAGCATAATTTGGTTGATTTAAGTAAACATGGATAGCCTAACAATATCCTACATTTATTTGGACTTCAATATATTCTAACTAAAATAGGGGTTAGTAAACAGTTTACAGGTATTTTTCCTTCAAAACACGGTAATATACCCAGTGCTGTAATGTAACTGAGAACATTTACTCAAAAACTGTACTTAAATAAAACATTAAGGTGCTAATAATTGTTTACTTTTAGTTCAGTACATCTTTTATGCTGAACTTTCACTTGTAACTGAGTATTTTTACACTGTAGTATTGCTACCTTTGCTTAAGTAAATAATCTGAGTACTTCTTCCACCTCTGAATATACCTAATTTTAATGGAAAAGTAAGCATTTATTATAAGCTTGCTCATTTGCCTGTATTTGCAATATATTCAGCGAATGGAGTGTTTACTTTATAAAAAAATGGTCAATAGCCTTCTGTGGTTAAGACTCCAGTGGGCCTTCTTCTTACTAGACATTTTAACTGTCTTAGTGGGAAAGCACAGGTGTATTAACCTAATAACATAAAGATGCAATTGTTCCATAAGTAAGCCTTGACTATGGTACACTGAGCTAGCATGCACAAAAGGACCCTAAAACTATAGCAGCTAAATGAAATTCAGCCATCATTTGTTTTGTGTGTCACTGGGGCTTTCTCTACTGTGACATGATAAAATATCTCCCACCTCCTGTTTTATTGCACTTTTACACCAGTATTGAAGTACTTTAGCTATTGTATTGCTGTTATTTGTAATGTGAATGCTTGTATTACACTCTCAGGGCTTTTGTTTCTTCTCTTTAGGGCATTACAGAACAGTAACTAACAGTAACTCAACCCAAAGGTAATACAGACATTATGTTGCTTGATAGAAATATTCCCATTTAATAGCTTGCAGTTGTTTTAATTTGTCTTTTCGTGGCTTAGATATGGTGGTTAATACCTGCTCAACTGAATCACAGCAGAAGCAAATAAATACAATGTGGTCTACTCCCTCCCTCCCAGTCATACAAATACACATTCACAGTGTGCACATAAGACACACATTTGCTTTGACACACTAACACACATTTCATGTCCCCTCCCTCCTCAGCCTGGGGTCACACTGTCATTTTATGATAGTAGCCAATTCAAGCAGGGATCATTTAATTCTCCAATGTGATTGATACCAGCTCAGGTTAAATGGGAGGAAAAAGGTCCGTTCTATTAAGAGATCAGTGGCTAGTGTAGACCTCCCACTTAAATAGTCACATTTCCTCTAAGCGTGTATGCAGTGTGTGTGTCACTCAGTTTCTTGGTAATGTTGAGGTGACACAGACAGTTGCAGAAGACCATCTACAGGTCAAATTAAATCACCTAGATAATTTAAAAAGCATTGACAGTGCAATTTGTCCATTCAGTGTTATTGCTCTGACCCCTATTAGTGTCAATGGGCTGGTTCATTTGAACCTCGATGGCTTATCAAGGTGTTATCTTCTCACTGCAATGGAAGTGGTGTAAAACAAAGGAAGAAAAAACCCTTATGGTCATTCCAAAGCCATTAGGTTAGATTGTAGTGATTGAGAAACATTACAAGGGTTTAATGTTCTTGCCTATTATTTATAATAAAAATAATTTAGCAGTAAAAATTGCATATGAGGTGCTAATTAGAAAGCGTGTGAGGGGAAAAGCAGAGTGTCACCGCTTATTAAACAGCCAATTCTATTAACCTTTTTCAACAAAATAGTATTTTTTCTTGATTAACAGGCAGCAGAGGACGACTGGGACCTTGGGCTGCCTTTTAACAACTCTATGGATCTCAGTACTGACTCTGGGACACTCCCCCGCCACACCACTGTAAGTTTCTACTACTGAGTAGAGGACAAAACAAAGAACATCCATCAGCTGATTTGTTTATTTATTTAAATATTACATTTAAACTTAAAAACATTTGATATAAACAATTTGGGGGTTTTGTCTAGGTTTATTTCTAAAAAACAGAACATGGAATATTTACTGTATAATGATTTGCTCTTTTTTTTTTTTTCTAAACACACTTTTTTTTTGTATTGTATGCAGGAAGAAATTACTTTTGAAAATGTTTGTCTTACAGCCTCGGCATGTAGTCTGGTTTTGTATTCTAATATTGTCAAACTAAGTGCTAATTAAGTATTTGAATTGCTAAATTAAAAGCATACATTTTCTTTTGTGTAGGTAAGAGGACCGATGTTGGGGCAGGAACTATCCCTGTCTAATTCTCGCTGTCAGACAGAAACTGGAAGCACCATCTCACTACATTTGTTGGAGTTTAAAACCCATCTACTTGAAGCTGTGGAGGAGCTGCATATTCGGAGGGTAAAGTAGCAATTACTCAGTCAGTGTGTGTCTTTTTAGATGTATGCAGTATTGTATCTCCAACAGTACTTTTCAAGTACTTTTATTTTGAAGACACAATAAAAAAATGTCTTGGTCTTTCAATGTCACTAGAGCAGTGATTCTCCACCCTTGTCGCTTCTATCCTTTGAATTAGAGTTGTGCATGTGTGTGGCCCGTTTTCAATTGTTTTGACCATTCCAACAAAAACAGATGTTCCTCCTTCTTTTATTTGCATTTTGAAAAACCTAAATGTACCCGTAAAAAATTGTTTAGCGATACTTGTCAATCAAATTAACATTTACTTTGAATAGAAATTGAATAAGCTTTGAATTGTTTGAGAAGCAATTTTTTAAAAGCTTTATATATTTTTAAAATATCAACAATCAACCTCAACAAAACGGACACACAGACAAATAGCAGTAACATGCAGCAGTGGCTAATGAGGTATCTACTTTTCTACATTTGCTTAGGTTTTCTGCTGACCATCAGGTCCGAAGTTTCAAAGTTACAGACCAGAGTTGTGAGAAAACCCTTTTGGAAAACTCAACAAAAAAAAATCCAACCTATGCTTTTATATTACCATCAACAAGAAATTCAAGCCTGGAAACCTATTTAAATACATTTTGGCTTTAAGCGCGACTCAGCAAATGTCCTAGGAATAAGTGTTACAGTTTCCTGGAGGAAGCCATCTGCCCCTTATTGGCCAGCTAGATCTGACGCACTGTGTGTTGAGATAGGGGTCAAATAAGCCATTTGACTCCTGACCAATAAGTAGCAAGAACATTTGTTTGTAAAAATAACTAAAATAAATAATAATGCTTCCTACCCTCCAGCAAGTGCTTTCAGCCTAACAACACAGTGTGAGTGTGCTTAAAGGTGAAGCCAGCCAAATGGGATGTTAGTCGTTTGTTCCCATTTAGTTTTTATTGTTATAGTCATGTCAACTGGGACACGAGCGTAACATTTTATATCAGTGTTCCTCCTCGGGCAATGCTGCTATCAAGTACTTTGTATCTGTAGCGTTCATGGGGTGGAGAGGTTGAGAAGGATGCGATGTTGGTGCCGGACATTCCTGAGCAGGTCAAATTCCAATGGGTTTGTTTACTTTTTTGAATACAAGACAACCCACTGCTTTTGTTTCTAAGAATGTGTTTACTGGTAGACTTAACCCCAAATGGCAAAGCACTTGGATGTTACCTATACATATGAATTTTATAGAATACATTCTAATTTTTCAAAGTGAGATATGAATTAAGACATATTCTAACAGAAGGAATTTAATCAAATCGGAACATTTTATGACACTGAAAAAAAGCTTTGAAAGGTTTAAAACGAGAGATTTAACATTTGAAACTAATAAAGATTTTTTGTGTATTCATCTTATTTACACAAGACAGAAATTGTGACAGATGACAATAACATGCATAATGGAAGGAATTTATCAATAAAATATCACACTATGTTTGTTAAAAGAGGCCCCATTATGCTCCTTCCTGTGTTCTAAAGGTTTGTGTGCATGTAAACGGTCTGAAAAGGCTAGTTTTTCCCTCCAGAGCCAAGTTCCCTTCTGAGGGAGTTTCTCTCCCACACTCCCCTCCCTGCCTGAAACGCCTGCATTGGACTCCTTTGATTTCTTCCGTAACATAGTGACATCACTTTTAACACCCACGCTTCTACTGGCTAGCGCTCCAACACATTGTACGTGATAGTCTAAGGGGTGGGACAGTAATTGACCAATCACAACAGCCGACCAGCTAACCAATCAGAGCAGACTGGGCTCTGGTTTCAGACAGAGGGTGAAAAGAGATGCTGCAGCACAGACAGGATGAGAAAAACAAAGAGCTTCTTGAACATTGAAGCGTGGAGACATGTCGCAGCAAAATATGAACCTGAGCATTTGCTTAATAGGGCCCCTATCTGCTCTTTTATATTGAAACTGAAACAAAAAAGCATTGACAGTTTTAAAATTGGGGTTTAGCTCTAACCCTAATGAAAAACTTAAGGATAACTTTGTATAAGTTGTCCAACTAGAGTAACTAGACTATTAAATACACCATTTCTATGGCCAGATACTTTCTTTTTTCTTTTTTAATGCCTAGTAAAAAGCATCCATTCAGAACAGCAGTAAACCAGTAAAGGGATAAAATCTATCGCAAATATATGATGTTAACAATCATGCATTTTCAAATAATTAGTTAAATCAAATATTATAAGTAACTTTTTAGCTAAATATAAATCATAAGTGCTCTTAGTTGATCTGCAGTTGCCTATTTAGATTGACCTCTGCTTAATAACGCTTTCTCGTGTTTTTTTCAACACGTATAGACACAGTGAGGATTCCTCAACGGAAAAATACCAGCTTTATCTCCTGTGCACTCCTTTTTTTTAAAAAGTGCTGGTAGCATAGTTTAATTGGAACTTATAAAATAAACTCAGCGAGGTAACCAGCTCCCACATGCACATAAAACAGTCCTGTGGATATAGAGAGCAATTGACTTTTACCTGCCTTCTCCCAGAGAAGAGGGAGGATAGGGATGGCTTTCCACAAATATCGCCTCCCCTCTAATGTTCCTTTTTCACCATGTGCTTCAATAAAAGATACGGAGGAATGATTCAGGGGAACTTAATGCAGTTTGCAGTTCTGGCTCAACTCCAGAGTTATCCGATTTCAGTCTGTACCATGCCTGCTTAGAAGGTATTTCTACCATCTAAATTTTAAATGACAAATCTTATATTTGTTCAACAGTGGGTACAATTTATAATCTCACAACAAAGGGGATTGTGCAGATCAAAAGGCAAATTGCATAAGTAGACTATCATATTAAATAAAGAGGTAAACACATCAAATAAGTACACATCGATGGAAACAAAACTAAGTAACAGCATTATATAAAGTAAGAAAATATATAAGAGTAATCGGGTAACAGGAAGTGAAAACATTATTTGTGTGTAAAGTCATATTATACAGAGTGTTGAAGTTGGCAGCGATTAATAAAATGACTAAATGGTATACGTAAGTATACACAGTATACAAATACATTTAACGTCTTATTTCCTTTGGCAGGTGTCTCCAGGTTGTCTGTGTGACTGGTTGTGAATGAATCCTTTATAAAAATGATTATACGTGATTGCTCCTAGGATTATTAAGCTGTTATGTGACTAGAGCTTTCAAAAATAAACACGTTAGCGGTTGCAATTCATCTGGTACCCCTAATGTGTTAAAAAAAATGAATACAAATTAATCACATGACTAAGTGTAACCCCAACTTCATCCCATAATTCCTGCGCACATTTTTGCCATGAATCACAAGACGGTAAGCAGCCATCACTACCTTGATGTAATGGCATACCAAATCTATGACAAATGGCAACTGCACTGGTGCGCTTTACGTGTGGTGAAGACGGAGGAAAGGCATTTTGACGAACCATGCTCCACAGAAGTGGAAGAGACACGGTCACCGCTATACAGTAGGAACAGATGTCATTCTCAAGCTGCATTTGTTACACGATTTCTTAATTGCTCACCTAGAGGTTGGGCGCAGAGCTTTGCAGTAAAAACATCTAGGTAGTTTTGTTTCTATGGTTGCATTCCCTGCTAGCTTGCATCGCTTCATACAGCTCTTATCTGATTGGTTGCGCAACAAAATGTCAGCGGCTTTCAACATTGAGAGCAGCACTTGACGACAGTTTCAATACTACTGGCATCGGGCGGAATCGATTTGTCAATAGACAAAAACAACTAACCTGAGATGTATTAATAATGTAAAAACCCTTGTTTCTCTTACCAGTTTGGTATGCATTTCTCTTTTACAACACCATATGTGTTTTTGATTTATTTCCCCCTAAATACTAGTAAATAATAGTATTGTGAAACTTTAGATTAATCACATGATTGCATTTTCTTAGTAATGATGCCTTCCCATTGTTCAGGATGCAGAGACTCGCTTCGAGGATCAGATCAGCAAACTGGTGCTGGAGAAGCAAGAGCTGGAGTGGGAGAAGGTAAAGCTGGTTTTACAACTCGAATATCTGCAATTCAAAACTTACATAGGTGGACATTCACAAAAGATCAGGCTCCTATCGTACAATTTATCCAGAATTTAAACTTTGTTCATCATCAATTACTTTGATTGGTTTTGTCTTTTCCTGTATAACAGGAATCCCTACAACATCAGATTGAAACAGTGGCCAACCAACACACTGAGTCATTCCTCAATGTGAAGAAAAAGGTATGATTCCACTATTTGTTTACAGCTTTTATATCTACAAAGATTGTTAACAGTACTTCCTGAACAATTCCTTCTTTTATGTCCTCAAGCTTCAGGCCAAAATCAGAAACACAGTGGAGGAGAAGGTATGAAGATCTTATTCCCAAAACGTCAATGAGATATTCAGAGCGTTTGATTTAGTTAATGTTTTCAGTGGAGTAGTAAATCCACTCATCTCAGCTGCACATCTCTTCTTGGCCCGTGGGGTAGATTCTCTAGTGCTGTGCTTGGGTATTTATTGTTTTTTGACACTGACGATAATAATATAACATTTCAGGGAAAATACCAGGTCAGTGCTGAGATAAAAGACAAGGAGATTAACAACCTGAAGGACGAGCTGAAGACGCTACAGGTAATGGGATGTGAAACATACACTGCCTCTTGTCTCAGGCCCAAATCCCTACTCACTTCCACTCTGCTTGCGTGTTCTCATGGAGACTCCAGCACATTAGGGGCCGCTCAAAACCTGGTAGTGTGGATTAGAGTTTATTAACTTTCACCCGGAGTCTGCATCAGTCCTGATTAACCAGCTGTCCATGGAACTAATGTGTAAATAGTTCTGTGCAAACATATAGCAAACTGTGAAATACATTTTATTTTTTCTTCGAGTTGTGAACAACTTCAAGGTTACATTGTATGTATTTGTTTTTGTACTTAGATCATACCAGTGTCTAGTTAAACAATTGTTAATTTGACTGAACATTTTTTATATTTTTATCAAAAGATGTTGCAAAAACCAAGCAGCTCATGGACATTAAGATTAAAGAGATGCTGACTCTAAACTATTGTTATGGAAAGTTAAGACAGGTCCTGTTGAAAGGGTCCTCCGTCTCAAATCTTGCCGCTCTATTTACACCCTCCACCTTTTAAGAAGGAGCCTCATTCAGCTGAGAGTGAGACTACAGACGGAGCGTGTTGGGGCTAGTTTGGAATTGGGCCTCTGTCTTATCTATGCTCATTTTCTATTTCTTATGACCCCAGGTTAGAACCCTGCCTGTGTTCCCTTCTAATGTCACCCCCTCTTTCTTCCCAATAAGGCCAATCTGGCCCCAAGAATAATAAGTAACTAAAAAGAAAACTGCCAAATGTTTTCTGGTTCCAGCATCTCTAATGTAAAGATGTAATGATTTTCAGTTTTGCATTAATGCCTTGGTTGGTTGGAGACTGGTAATTGTTCACTTATCAACAGACATAATAATTAATTAAATAACAACAATTATTTAAAGGGGACCCATCATGCAAAATGCACTTTGTGATGTCTTTTATACATAAATATGTGTCCCCGTTGCGTCAGGGAACTCATGCAGCGTCAGAAAATAAAACCCTCTCTTTTCCTCCGTACCCAAATCTTAAAAAAAACGGCTGTACAACGAGCGGATACAGATTCCATCCGAACTGACGTCAATTCGGCAGCAGACCCACAGAAAGTTGCTATCAGAAACAATGCCTGACGTGTTTTGGACATCTTTGTTCATATTAGCAAGCCTCGCTAACACTCAGAGCTAACCTGTCCTAGAGAGCACATGTGTTTTTAAAAAGCAGGAAATAAAAAAAAAGAACTCACCTTGTGATAAACCTGCAAGAGAAAAAGCATTTGAGCATACTATTTCAGAAATAATCCTTGACCTGGTTTAAACAGGATGGCGTTTTATCACAACCGAATTTAACTTTATCTCCAGTAGAATTCTGATCAGGCATTAGCTCCGCCTCCTCTTATTTATTTATTTATTTATTTATTTCAAGCTAAGGACCCCAAATCTGCATTTCTCTAACAGGGCTTCAAAAGAGGGGTTTGAGCAGATGAAAGGCATGCGCCTACTATGGGTGATCTGTTTGCGTATTTGAAAAAACTTCACATGTTTTATATAGGTATGGCCCTTACCAATTATGTTTCACAATATAGCATGATAGGTCCACTTTAAATATAGGATCAATGTTTAAAGCTTACAATATCCGTATATAATAATAAATACTCCCCACACCAGTATATACAGGGACTGTCTCAGAAATG